CTTTTGTATGCAGGCTGAGCTTTGTCCAGGCTTCATCATCAGAGACCATTCTGATGTGTAGTTGTCTGGGCATTAAATGAAAATATTATTTTTAAGGAAACATCTGCTTAGGGTATGTTTGGGATTTGAGACCTGGAGATTGCTTGGGGACAAGGAGAGAAATTTGCGGTTTATCAAAAATTTCCCATGGTTGCTGTAAAAAAAATCAATACAAAACAAAAAAACCACCTTGATATAGAGTGACTTCTACTGCAGCTAGTGACTGGTCTTTTGTGACTACAAATTCTTAGAGAGGATGAGGAATTTTCATTACATTGTGTTAAATGTGTTAACCCTCATGTTCTCTGATGCAAATTCAGTTTCTAACTGCTCTTCTGTATCTCTGCTGATAGTCACATGTTCTTGTGTGTGATACTGGTGGACTTAATTGCCAGCCTATATATTAATAATATATTTATAATATATAATATTTAATAATAAACCTCCCCCCAAAAAAGAGTTTCCCATTATAAATCTCCAAAAGGCTTGGCTGGCAGGAGAGGTTCTTTGGTCTTTTCTGTCATGTTATTTATTATAATTCCTCTTGGATTCTTCCAGAATGGTGAGTCCTTAATCATGACAGTGAAAATCAGTGAAATAACAAACAGTTCTGTGCTGAAGTTGCTGTTTCAAGAATAGATCTTTTGTATTTCCTTTCAGTTCAAAGGGGGGTTGTCCCTAAAGACTCAAATTTGTTTCAGTGTGGTAAGTTCTCATTGGTTCCTTTTTTGATTGTTCCCTTTAAAATGCTCTTTTTAGTTAGACAGAGATATCTGCAAAATTATGCATTTAGGTATGTTCTTTGTTTTCTTGCTGTCGCTGCATATACAAATCATGCTTTCGCATATGCAAATACTCTTTTAAACATGTATTTAATATAATAACATGCTTAGGTGTTAAATGGTATTTTTTAAGACTGTAGAAGAACAAAGATTATGCATCAACAATGAAGCTTGCACCTTAGTTAATATATATTAGAGGGGTAAACCAGAATCTCAGCTTGTATTTAATTTTCTAGGGGAGGGTTGGTTTTGGTTTTTGATCGTGGATCTGCTAACTGAATTTTTTGCAAGAGCTATGGTTTTGAATTTGTCAGTTTGTTTGGTAACTGAGCCATACTCCTTTTCTTTTGCCTTTGAGTTTTAACAGACAACCTGCTAGGGAGAGCTCCTGTGAGTGTTCCCTAAATCCTTGTTGATCTCTCTGATCGTGGAAGCTCAAATACAAGTTTTGCTTACTTTTTGTTAGTGCGCTTCTATTTATGTATTGGAGCTTCTTTTGCTTGAAGTTACTCATGCCTCAAGTTACTGGTACTTGATCTACATGATACAAAATAAGCATTGGATGGGGCTTTGAGCAACCTGGTCTGGTGGAAGGTGTCCCTGCCCATGGCAGGGGGGTTGGAACTGGATGATCTTTAAGGTCTCTTCCAACCTAAATCATCCTATGAGTCTATGATTGTGCTCCCACATTGGATCTTCCCCACATGGCATGGCGGTGATTAAGATCATGATCTGCAAATGCATATGCACATGCAAGGGATGTACCTGGGGTACTGATAGGCTTGTGAACAGAACTTGCACATAAAATTGGCAAGCTTGTGTTTTGTGAGGATGGCGTGAAGGGGCATGATGACAATGTCCTCGTACCCTATGGCATAAAGCAAATCTTTTGTACTCAGAACTTTGTCATTCATTAAAAGACATTGTCTGTACTTTGTCTGACCTACTGCATGTAGGCTTGGAAGGTGAGCTTGCTAAGGTAAAAGTAATTTCTGGGGAGATGGCACAAAGACTTGCAGAGTAGGAACCCTTTTTCTAGCTGGGACCTCTGAGAGCAGGAGAAATAATCTTCCATAATGGGATTGTGAAAAGGAGTTTAGGCATTTACAGTAGCTACGTTCTAATAAAACTAACAAGCATACTCATTTGAGGTTTTCAAGCCTTTTTGAATGAAGACTTCTTTTTGAAAGAAGTAGAAAAACTTGAGCCTTCCTAGAAGTGGAAAATGTATAGCTGTTAGCAAGTACAGAGGAAATCAAATGTTGGCACTGGCCACCTGCTATATCGAGGCTGAGAATTAGTAAATTTTAATATATATGGAAACAGTAACAGTCACTTGGGCAGCCCTCTGACAGCTCAAAGCTGTAAAGCTACTTTTAATAAGGAAATACAGATATACGGCTCCAGAAAGGTGAAGCAGACTGCTCTTTCTACCTGACTGAGTGCTGAAAAGTGAGTTTGGTATTTGCTTGGGGGATTTTGTTTTGTTTTTTTGGTTTGGTTTGGTGGGGGTTTTTTTGTTTTGTTTTGGTTTGGGTGGATTTTTTGGGGGGTGGTCATGTGGGGGGGCAGGTTTGCCCGATCTGACGTCTTTGATAGGTGGCCCAATTGAAAACATAGTGATGGTGAGCTGTACAGATTTACAGATAATAAAATGTAATAATAGTAATAAATACAATAATGAAATGTGGGTTTGGACCATCTTACATTTTCTTTAATTTCCTTGTTAGAAAGCAGCTTTTGCTTTGTTAGACCTCTTCTGAATAACAAGTTAGTTGCTTTAGTCCTTCTGTTCATGTTCGGTACAGTAACCTCTCAAGTATATTACCATTGTGCTTAAAGCAAATCAGTCTTGATTTTTATCTTGTTTGACAGCATTTTGTATATATAATTTCCCTCCTAGTATATTTTTGGCAAGTGGAGAAGAAGAAATATGGAATAACTGTGTTAGACAGCTTTCTGTTTCATGTTTTAGTACCGTTCTGCTAAGAATTTGAAAGTGTTCTTTGTCAACTAATAGGAGAGCAGCACAGAGCCCATGCTACAGTCCAGCAGCTCTTGATAGGACTGCATCAGAAGAGTAAACGGATGGCATTTCAACTGCAACACATTTGGAGATAAACCTGTCCTTGTGACTAGAAGAAATTACTGCTGTGTGATACATATAGTTTGCCTTAAGTGCGTGCAGCTGCTGTCACTTTATTTGCTATTTGGGCATATGTTGCCAGACATGAGGGAGGTGACTTTTCCTTTGGGTTAATTGTTTTTTGCAATAAGGAGGCAGTAATTTCAGACACTGAGTGAGAGAAAGAGTTATTTTTACCTCCCTCTATTATCCATGTCAGTTTGGTGGTTTCTGGTCAAACAAAAGCTTGCAGTCACTTTAAACTTTGAGTAGAGGAAAACACAATTCATTATAATTAACATATCAGTCCCAGATACTTTGGTATTCCAGCTCTTAACCTGTGACTATATGACAGCTACATCTTGATCTGACACTCACAACTGTGTATTCAGTGATAACAAATACATCTTTTAAGATGTCCCTTCTTTGGGATGTGCTTGTGAGTGATCTTTGTAGTCCAGGGGTTGGGAGCTTATGCTGAGGAATGTGGTAGGGTTTTTTTGGTTGACTGTTTTTTTGTTTTGTTTTGGGACGTTTTTTGGTAAGCAAAATAAGTCGTATAAAATAGCAGTGTGGCAGTGTTGTAGGGCCTGAGTAGTGACTCCAAAAGTGCATTAGATGTTTTGTTCCTTAATCTTAAAGGAGATCTCTGCCTGAGATCTGATCTTCAGGGAGATCTCTACGGTGTTCATTTACTCCATGACATTTGTGCAGCTGTTTGATCTGGAAATGCTTGTGTGTCCTGTTTTTTGCTGTCCGGTGGGGTATGCTGGCAGCAGAAGACAGAAGCAGATGCAGCTTCAGTCTCATAGCTGGCAATGTACTCCTGGTTCTTTGTTGCAAAGGTTGAAGCTGTGGGAACAGCAGTCTGCTGTCAGTCTTACTGGTGCTGGTCTTAAAGATGTAAAGTAACTGGTGGGATAGAAAGAGTCTTGGTTGAAAAATCCCTCTTAAAGAGAGTAGGCCTTCAGGGCAGAATCTTGTAGGCTTGCCCTGCTTTAAGTGAGGGGTTGGACTGGGGTGATCTCCTGGGGTCCGTTCCCACCTGAATTATTTTGTGATTCTGTGGGGATTCTGATGCTGAGGCCTGCCTCTGCTCTCTCTGCCTCGGACTCTTCCCTGTCCTACATGAGACCTCTGTGCTCTGCAGTAATTCTCATATGAGGATTTTTTTATTTGCCCTTGTCCCCTTGTCAGTTTCTAGAAACTAAGATTAACTCTTCAATAACAGGGAGGAATGATTCCTGTTAACATTGTAACCAAAGGGACTTACATAGCATACAATGATTTTGCAGCGGACAGGGGAGAATGGTAATGTAGGGTCAGGGGTGAGATTCTGTAATGTTCAGCTTTTTCTAGTCTCCTAATGGAGGAAGAAAACTTGTTCTTCTGACAGATAATTTCCTCTTGCTGCCTTTTGTCCTAGTTCAGAAAATACAATATAATATAGTGTTCCTTTGAGAGAAAGAATGGTACAGATGGGTTCAAGGAAATGATTTAAACAAGAAGCTTGCTTTGTGTCTTGTTCCTTTTCAACTAAGAACTAAAATTACAAAGCTTCTTATTAATGCAGTGAAAAGAGTAACCTGTGAGCATTTATTTGAAAAAGTTTTAACAATAATTTCAGTTGTAGCTGATAAACCTAAAAAGCAGAAGGGGGTGAAGTAAGTGCAAGTGGAAGTGTGCTTTTTTTGCTGAATATTAGCAAACTTCTTTGATAAGTATTGCACTGGATTCATTGTGCTGACTGATTGGATCTTTCCAATTTGTCCATCCCAGTTATTCCATATCTTGTGCTAGTCAGAAATCTTTTGACATAGAGTCTGCCTTTGTGAGGTTTCTGGTATGGACAGAAGCACACTTCTATTTCAGCACCATTTAGTAACAGATTTGTTGCAATTGTGTATTTGTCCTCTGAACTCATATTCTGCTTTGAAGATGGCATAGGATGCAGCTGTGTGAAACTGGGTTTTTATGCTGGTAGGGTGTTACTGCCTTCTGATTTGTGCATCTGACTTGGAGGTTCTAGTAACAGTTACTTTCCTGTCTTTCAGGTGTTGATAGCTGATGACTACTCAGATCCGTTTGATGCCAAAAGTGAGTTGAATAGAATGAGAAAAGGAGAGAGCACTGGCTATATGGAACCATATGAAGCCCAGAGAATAATGACTGGTAAGAAAAGACAATTGCAGATGTGAGCTTTAATTCCGTTGCAGTTCACATGGATATTACAGCTACTATGAAACAGAAATATCCTTTGGCATGCAGACCCATGTTTCTGAAGATGCTTAAGTAGTCAACAGTCAATGCTGTGGAGGCTTTTCATGTGCGCATGCCTTGATATCTAAAAATACTGCTCTGGACCTCACTATTGAATATAGATGGTTTGTACTGTCATATGAGGAGATGAAAACATGAGCAGTGGGAGTTGGAAAGTGTATTGCTCAGCTTGGCCATGTCAAGGCTGTCATCTGTGTACATAGTAGGGATGGCCAAAGCATGATGTTGTGTTAGTTCACTTAAAAACAGTTGATCAATTTGCTTGTGGCCCTTTTTTCCTTAATCAGATTCAGACTTCTCGGTCTTTCCTCTGTTGGAGGAGGCCTGAAAAGCTACATCTTTGTGTAGCTTCCTTCTTTCCTTCCTTCCTCGCTTCTGTGATGTTTTTTCGTACCATTGGTTAAAATGAGACACTGTAGGATGCCTGTGAGCCTTTAACTGCTATTCTTGGTAGTGTCCTTTTTCTGTCATGTAGGGAGGTGGTTAATGGTGGTATTGTTGTAGGAGTTTGGACTCTTTGAACCCCTTGTCCTGGCAATATGCGACTGTATTAACTGTGTATTTTCCTTGTATTATCTGCATCCACTTCCTACTTGTTGGCTGTGCAGTCTGTAAACTTTCCAGGGATATGGGGCCACATGTTTTTATTCTCGGATTATTTGACTTTGTCAAAATGCATCTTTGTGCAGATCAATTGTGCATTTCTTCGATTTGTACAGCAGGTCCTCTTTTTCTCATTATGAGGTAAAAGTCACTCTTGTGCCCAGTTAAGTTGATTGTATGCTTTCCTTTTCCTTCAGGCAGCTCCTGTTTTGGGCGTTCAGGAAAGATTAATCACTGGGGGAAGATGAGGCTGTTGGATGCAAAGATCCTTTTTTCATGCAAGTGTTCCTATTTTTCTTTTCTTAAATAGCATTTCTGAAGAGAGACACAGGAAATGACATGTAGACTATATTGTTTCAAAGTTTTCAGTATCTTATAGAGGGGCTGGGAGCTTTTATTTCTCATTGGTGTAAATATATTCATTCTAGTTAAGTAATTTCTCAGAAAAACAAATTAGTCCCAGTAAGTTCTTGCTCCTTATACAGCAGTGATGAGCATTTGTAATTTTAACTATGAAGTTTACAGTACTTTGATTTCTTTCTTCCTGTGTTTAAGACAGGAGCTTATTCTATTTCCTTTTCCAGGTTAGCCATAATAAATGGAGTGGTTTAGTGGACAATACTAGATGGTTTAGCTAAAATAAGGGACAGTAAATTTGTATACCCTTGCAATTGCAAGACACCCTTTTGCCAAATTGGTGTGTGACACAGCTGATAAGCTGTTTTATCTGCTCTGTGTGTTATTATAAAGCAAACAAGAGGCACTCTCCAAGATGCCAAAGGCACTTTTGAAACTGGGGTTTAATTGAGTGTAATGATATTGCAAGTGTTCTGAATATGCATTTTATTGAGCCAGTAGAAGATGCTTGATATCCCCCTGAAGATGTTTAGTGTTTTGAGATCTGGGTATTTGGTTTTCAGTCATCTTGTCCTAATCCTAGTAGAAATAGAGAAGGTCTTCCCATAAACCTTGGTGAGGTCAGGTTATATTCCACTACATTCAAGCATGTGGTTTTACATTTGTTTTTTTTTTATTGCACAGATTTTGCCTTTGCATTTTACTTGACAAATGAAAATCCAAAGGCATCTTTTTGGAAAGTTTTTAAAGATTCAGTTTATATTTCCCAGGTGAGTTCTATTATGTATTTACTGTTTCTAAAGAAGACCTCTGGACTGCAGTTTGGTCAGCTGCAAAATGTTTACTGCTTTGTTTGTTATGTTTGTTAGCTGTGCTGTCTGATGAATAAAAGAACATTATATGGCTATCCATTTAGTTTAACTAATCTGTTGAAGTCCTTCTAGCTGTATTTAACATGCCTAATCCCAGAGAGAGGGAATCTGCATACCCTAGCACTTCAGGAGAGACAGAAAACAAAACGGCTTTTTGTCAGTTACTCGTTATTTACTGATATACCCTGCCTCTTGATCAAGTCTGGAAACCAGGTGTAAGGACTAGTTTGAAATAGGAACCTAAAGTTTTTGTGTGTGCTGCCTGCTCCTTGAGCTAGTAGAGGATTAGGCAAAAGCAAGTGTCTGTATGAAATAAGACCCTATTATTTCAATTTGAGAAGCTAAGCTTACACCTGAATAAAAATGTATGATGTCTGAAATAAGTTCATTCAAAAGTTATTCGCCCTCCCTGAAAGCTTTGTGGGGTCACAGTTGTGATGCAGTTGGTTCTCAGCTGATGTTTAATTAAAAAAAAAAAGCCTTGAAGTTGATGATTTCAATAAACTATTGAATGGTCTATCTGATTCCGTGCTGTCTGTGGTGAGAACTGGGTTTAACCAGGCTTGAAATTTCTTCTGCTGATAGTGTCCCCAAAAATACTGTCATCTCAGATTTGTGGTTATGTTCGTTGAAAGCAAGCAACCTTTATGACAAGGTTTGGAAAGGCTTTTCAAAGAAGGGCTTAACCTTAGGCTAAGGTAGAGCATGTTGAGAACAAATGCATGTTTATAAGAAGCTGTCATCTCCCGGCAGCCAAACACACCTGCTGGCCTATGCTGATATTTGTGCCTGTCGTGTATTCAGGAAGTCCATGCCAGATGTTCCAAGGAAGTCCCTAGGAATACAGTTCCTGGTGTGCTGTATGGTGTGAGTCTCAGCTTGCATGGGTGTGCACCCAAAGCCACAGGAACAGTGTTGCATCTTTGCCTTATCCCCAAGCTGTTTGGGATTGGATGTCTCAGTGTAAATACAGATGTATGAAGGAAGTTCTCCGTGATCTTAATATCTGACATACTGTGGCCTGGACCATGCATGGATAGTCTATGGCCAGACTATCTCTGGCCTGGCTGCTATCATACATGTATGCAGGCATGAAAACAAGTAGAGATAGCTAAGAAGTTGATGATTTCAAAGGATCCTGAGAAGTAGGTGGACCAGAGAGAAAAAAGTAACCTGCTAAGAAAATATTGGCATTGCTGATACTGTCTGGATAACCATATCCTAGCAATAAATAGAGAAGGAAGGACTGGAGGCAAAGAGAAGAGGAAAGAAGAAACAGTGCCAGATAACATTACTGTGACTGGCATTCATCATAAAGCTGCAATCCCATGTGCTGATTTGTGTTTGGGCTGTCTAACAGCTGAAAGGACCCTGTCTTCACTCGGAATAGCAGCATAAATTGCCTTTGTTCCCTTGCAAGGGCTAGACTTTCTATCCAAGTGTGTTGTAAGTATGGTGTTTCCAAGGCTTTCTTATGCAAGCTTTCAATTCTTATTTTTCCCCTAGTGTCAGTCTGTAGCTGCTGCAGTAGCTGCTGCAGTAGCTGCTGCAATAACATATGGCTTGTCACAGAAACAGGCTTATGCTGCCTTACCAAGCCTGAAACCAAGCACCGTTGTTTGCACCAGGTGCAGGAGATATTTCATGCTTGAGAGAGAGTCGCCCAGAGGAGCAGTGGCTAGACGTGCTGCATTTGAACAGAAGTGAATCATTGGGACACTGTCAGGCCAGAGTGATGATGTCCGTTTCATCATCCATTCTTCTTAGGGA